AAGAAATCCTTCCACCCAAGTCGAAGACAAGAGAACTTCCAGCCCAAGTCGAAGACAGAAGAGTTCAGCCCCGGACGGCAGCGTAGAAGAGATCACCTCGGATGACAGAGATTTGCGGGCTGAGTTGCGGCAAGAGATCCTTCCAGCCCAAGTCAAAGACAAGAGAACTTCCAGCCTAAGTCGCACGAAGAAGAAGAAATACAACCCAAGTCAAGACAAGAGAACTTCCAGCCTAAGCCCGAAGAAGAAGAAGAAATACAACTCAAGTCGGAGAGAAGAATCAACTCATGTAATGATCGATAGAAATTAGCCCCAGTGTCGAACCAAACCACATCCGACATACACAATTCTAAAGAGTAGGCAATTCAAATCTTTAGGTTGTGTGATAGAAGCTTGGTGCCATAGTCCACAGAGCGGGTCGGGAAATGAGAACAATTTTGTTTTTATGTAGCGGACATTAAGATATAAAGGGTTGTTACCCATTTTTTTTCATCAGCAATCTTTTTGTCTCGTAAGTTTATTTTCTCTTTTATTTGTGTTTTGCCACCCCGTCGGACTCAACTTGTATCGCCCCAATCCCTGCTGGTCCCGTCTGTCTAAGATCTAAACACAGCGTGGGTAGACAGACCGGAGATCGGGTACAGTTGCTTTAGTGACCAGGTATTGGAAGCGAGTCGGGAAAGGCGAGGCTGGTGATCATCTGACCAAGGGGTTGGAGCGGCACGCTTGGACCCAGGAGGAGCGACCAGGAGGAGCGACGTCACCGTTGGCGCCGTAACCAAAGGATCCGACCCTGGGCCAGGTGTGTAACCGTCACAGTATGGTCCTGTAGATTTTCTGTTTTTATTTGGAAGTCACACATCAAAGCTACAAACATAAACTAGTGCACAGTGGCAGACTGGTCAGGGTATCAGCTTGCCTGATGGCAAGTGGGCCCCTGATAGAGTAGGTCCCCTATATCAAATAAAAATGCAATAAAGAAACAAAAACAGACAAAAAGGAATAATAATTTTATAATGCCATCTGTGCACTATCACTTACTCAAATCCAATGTGAGAGGACATTTTCAAAGCTAAAGATCATAATGACAAGGTTAAGAAATTTGCTACCTGATGAGAATTTGGAATCATACATATTGCTATCCATTGAAAAGATATTGTTAGATGAATTGAATGCAGAAATTATTGGCAGATTCAAACAATCATCTAGTGAACACAAACAATTGCTCTTAATATAGTGGACTGCATTTGAACTATCTGTTAATGTGTAAATTGGGCAATAGTCTATTTTAAAATATTAACCAATTACTTAAAATTAACAAAAATAAATAAAAAATTAAATTATAACACTCTGTATTTACATTTGGTATCTACTACCAGAAATATGTACTTGTAATTATTAAGGAATACACATTTTTTTCTACAAAAAATTTAATTGTACACTTTTTTTCCAGATGTATTTTTTAAACATTTTATTTATTTGTTATGAAAATTAAATGATAACATTGTCAACTTGTCAGCAAACAAAGGAATATGAAACAAAAACTTCACAGCATGGGAATCATCGCCCCATTTTGAAAGCGGTGAAAAACTAAAATAATGTACTTTTTTATTTACTAATTTTTACATCAATTTCGGTGAATTTCCTGTTTTTGTGACGAATATTTGGGATGCTATGATGTGTGAGTAAATATTAGTCCCCATTATGTTGCAGGAATCAACACTTTGGATAATAAACATTTATTGGCTCCTGGAACATTTATCCCACCAACAATATTGGTGGATCAACGGGAGTCCAGGTAAAAATAAATAAAACAATCAATATAAAACAAACGACAATGGCCGTCCTGGGTATGATGATAAACTACATCCACGTCCTGGGTATGACAAAAAACTACATCCGCAGCCTGGGTACAACGACAATAAACTACATCCGCGTCCTGGGTATGACGATAAACTACATCTGCGTCCTGGGTAAGATGATAACTACGTCCAACAGCAAGGCCTCTGATCAGGAGGTTTTGAGGAGCGTGGAACCACCTCTTAATTTCTGGCATTCCCAGGTCCACCCTGACCTTTTGCCATCAATATGGGTCATGGATGGTTTGATCAAAGGGTAAATCTCTTTCATGAATATAAGATTTACTTACCAAAAACATAGACAGTGTTTTACCCATGATGTTGTTAAAAAGATCTTGTGCTGGGGTGCCCGAAGTGGAGACCATGAAAAAGTCGACAATGAATAGATACTCGCGACAACAATTGTCCATCAGGGTGTAGTGTTGACTGCGAAATAATTTCTCAAAAGTGTACTGAAAATGATAAAAAATTTGGATAAAAGGTTTTAGGAGAGGGTCTGAAGAGAAGGGACACAAACAAGAAATTTAAAAACATTGTTCACATTATTAAAGGAGATAAAAGTCAAAAAATTAAAATGAATATCAAGATATGCCAAAAAATTGTCAGTCTACAAACTTTAAAGATTTAACCAGGAAATTTATAGATTGTATAAGTTCAAAACTGCACTTTTTATATATATGATATAAACATGTGGATTTTCTATCAATGTTTTCTTTCTTTTTGCCTCAAATTCCTCAGACTAAATATGTAATAAAATACATTATTTCATGCCTACACTTAATAAAAATTTAAAAACATTTCACCAACGTTCTTGCGAAATCAATCAAATACTCTTTCACAAACAATAAGTACCCGCAATAAAACCTTCAATAGATCATATATATATGTTTGAGGGCTTAATCATTACCACTAACCCAGAGAATTCCAGCAATACCTCACAATATCAGTAAGTTTTGTTAGTTCTCTAACATAGTCTGAAAATGCCAAATTCATGCAGAAGCAGCCCCTGACCAATTTTAGAGCCATTTTATATATTTCTTCCTTTCAGGTATATATGTGCATATGTTTGTTTATATAGGTTGAGAATTCCTCAGAATATGAAAAAAAATACTCCATGGATTCCACAGTGGTAAAAAGATATAGAGATATATCTATTAAACAATTATATAAAAGATGACTTATCTATTTTAAAAATGGTTAAAATCAAAAGGGATCAAAATGTCAGAAATTCTTGACACACCTGTATCACAGGCCATGTTTTAATACCTACAATTAGTAAAACAAAAACTGCTGAGCAGGTAATATAAAAAAGAAACAGAATCATCATGATGAGTAAATAATGAAGTAGATGACACTTGAAAACTATAAACAGTGCTTTTCTTTCTTACTAAATAACCTGTTCCAAAATTTGAAAAATCTAACATTCTCATTGAATAACAATATAAAAGCCTTTTCCTATCAGTAAATCTGGGTTTAATTCATGACCACTGACAATGCATTCCTTCCTGATTTGCAATGTATTTTTACAGTAACACTGTTTATAGTACTTTTGTCATAGAAAAATCATTTGCGTTGTGTAAATAGTAAAACCATCTGTAAAGCATTTCTATAGTATAAACATTTCAAATGCTTTCTTTGTAGTAAATATATTTGCAATGCTTTCCCCAAAGATGGAATTAATCAATTATCATTTTCCTATAGTAAAATAATATTTGCAATCCTTTTCATAACATAAAACCATTTGCAATGCTTTCCCTGTATTAAAACCATTTGCAATGTTTTTCCTATATTAAAACCATTTGCAATGATTTCCCTATAGTAAAACCATTTTCAATGCTTTTCCTATAGTAAAACCATTTTCAATGCTTTTCCTATAGTAAAACCATTTGCAATAATTTTCCTGTATTAAAACCATTTGTAATAATTTTCCTGTACTAAAACCATTTGCAATGCTTTCTCTATACTAAAATCATTTGCAATGCTTTCCCTATACTAAAACCATTTGCAATAATTTTCCTGTACTAAAACCATTTGCAATGCTTTTCCTATATTAAAACCATGTGCAATGCTTTTCCTATATTAAAACCATGTGCAATGCTTTTCCTATATTAAAACCATGTGCAATGATTTCTCTATAGTAAAACCATTTTCAATGTTTTTCCTATAGTAAAACCATTTGCAATGATTTTCCTGTACTAAAACCATGTGCAATGCTTTTCCTATATTAAAACCATGTGCAATGCTTTTCCTATATTAAAACCATGTGCAATGATTTCTCTATAGTAAAACCATTTTCAATGCTTTTCCTATAGTAAAACCATTTGCAATAATTTTCCTGTACTAAAACCATGTGCAATGCTTTTCCTATATTAAAACCATGTGCAATGATTTCTCTATAGTAAAACCATTTTCAATGCTTTTCCTATAGTAAAACCATTTGCAATGATTTTCCTATACTAAAACCATTTGCAATGCTTTTCCTATACTAAAACCATTTGCAATGATTTCCCAATACCATTTGCAATTTTTTCCTTATAGTAAAATCATTTGCTTTAATTTCCCTATATTAAAATCATTTGCATTGCTTTCAAAAAATCTGCTTTGCCACATATATTTAAAGATTTTATTTATAGGTTGTATGGGACACTTAATCTTTATATTCATGAAAAGTTTAATTGCTCAAATGAGTTCAAAATCCTACCTAGTCTCTTTTGCATAAATACTCTGTGGAAAGGTATAAATTTACCTTTTCTCCCCATGAGCTATAGGTTAAATAAAAGAGTACTCTGAGCTTTCTAGCAATGGGTGTTTGTCAGCCAGTTCAGTAGAAGACTACTCTGAATTTCAAATTGCAGAGAAAGCAATAAGAAATCATTTCACTATTTTCTTTCACCAACAAGTCTGTCTATAAACAGATAAAGAAACAATCTATGGAGAGCCATGATTAGATATGTCCTGAAAAAAAAGAAAGAAAGAAAGAAAAAGAAAAAAAAAAGAAAGAAAGAAAGAGAAAAAAAGAAAGAAAGAAAGAGAAAAAAAAGAAAGAAAGAAAAAAAAGAAAGAAAAAAAGGCACTGCTTAAATAGATTGGTTTACTTATAAAAAATAGGGAAACATTAGTTTTGGGAAACAATTTTTGTTGATTAGCATTCTTCAGACCTTCCTTATGCCATGACACTTGACAATTGAAAAATATTGATTTTTTTATTGATTTAGTCAGGAAGTTCTCTTCATAATATCAATATAGTATAAAATCAATCCCTAATATTTTACAGAGTTATTGTCCTTAACTGTTATTTATAAATGTTAAGTTTGAAACTGTGGTAATGTCATTGATATCTGAGTATTTTTTTAAATTTTCTGAATATTTTAGACCAGTGGGTTTTTTTTGCCCAATGGACCCTTTTCCCCTCATCTTTCAAGATTGTTTGACTCAAAAGTTTTATTGCAAAATATGCATATATTATTAAAAATCTTAATTCTTTTCCATATTATTATATACTAGCAGCATGGCTTGGCGTTGCCCGTGCTTGATTAAAAAATCGTATGACTCGTACAGCAATCGCTATCACTTGACTTAAAATATTTTTGCTCTTCCTTGCTTTTAAAGGAGTGCCCTTTGCCGTGCTGATGTTGCTACATGCCTATCTCACACTGTGAATTTTTTCTAAGCTCTATACTAAACATTAAATCTGTTACGAAAAAAGAACTAAACAAAATGAACACAAAACAATCAGCTTTAAAAAGGAAAAAACAAATGAAAAAAAGAAGGTTAACAACAAATACTTTTTCACACTCAACCCAGTTCTGTGGAATCAAAATCAACGTTGAGTTTAAGCAAGCGAATGAGCCAATTGGAGTAAAGTGCCATGCAGATTTAAATTTTTCCCACTTGTGACGAATGCAGCTATCGATTTTTTTTGCATGCTAGCATGCTAGTTAACATTCGTGTCAGTCAGCTGTTGGCTCTCATGTTGACCAATCTTCCTGCCTATTCATGGCAGCCAGCTAAAGGATCTCATTCTGGCCAGTATAAAATGGCCGCAAACTACATGAAAACTGCCGTAGAAGCATGAAAAAATCGTTTATTTCCACTATCGATGGGTGTTGGAAAATACAAGGTTGGTCTTGGCCTTCCCACTAACTTGGAGCATGTGCATATAAATTTTGGTGCAAATCCGTCAAAAATTACGGCCATGCATTCGTTACACACACACATACACATCCTGCCTTTTATAGATAGAGATACATGGATTATTTTTATAGAGGAGCTTTACAAATTTAATAGCGATAGAAAACGTTGATGGATTTCTAAACTTGAATACATGTACAGTAATTTGTCTTAATTCATAACTAATTATAAATAAATAAACTGAAGTATACTTGAATAAAAAAAAAAGTTCAGTAGAATGCCAGTGTATTGGAATTGAATAAACAAAATTCTGTAAATAAAAGACAAGAAAATCTAAAAGATTTTACCTACCCCCTAAAACTGTGAGACCCTCCCCTCCCAGTTGAGAACCCCTGTTTTAAACTTTTTTTTAAAATATTTTTTTCTGTATGGGACTTTTTTAAGCACATCCAAAAATATCTAAGTTAATAAATATTTATTTTAAATGAACAATAAACAGATACATACTTTTATTAATTTATATATATTTTTGTTCTCTAATTACAAACACACACACATATATATAATATTAGTGGAAAATATACACATACATATGCAAAATATATAAATCTACATACATACATACATACATACATATATATATATTTGTATATAAAAAAAAAAAGATAGAATCCAGGTAGAACTCAATGTCCAGGACAGAGTAAGAATATAATAAAAAGGCTTAAACACTAATATTCCCTGGTCATAATTAATTCCATTGGAATCATAAATATGATCCAATTCATCAGACCTTTGGATCATATTTACAATTCCAATGGAATAAATTATGACCATGGAATATTAGTGTTTAAGTTTTTTATTATATATATATATATATATATATATACACAGAAAAAGTTGCAAATAAAAAAAATAATAATGTTTTATTTTATGAAAGTATTTATTTATTTATATATATATATTTGATATTTCAGATTGCCCTCAATCTTACATCAGAAATAACTATATATATATATATATATATATATATATATATATATATATATATATTCATTCTTTATTTATTTAAAAGAAATCTTTTTTGAAAATACTGACTGTAAAATCTGTTTTTCGTATACACAAAACAGCTAAGGACAATAACTAATAATTAAGAGCTATATAGATATTATGAATAGGACCACACATCTAAATTGATATAAAAAACAGTATTTTTTATCGTTACAAATGTTGCAGCCTCAGGAAGTTCTAATGAATGCTAATATACAAAAATTATTTCCAACCCCTCACCTTTTTTATGAGGGGACCAGTGTATTTAAGTAGT